CAGTTGTTTGTGCTATAAAGGTACGGTATAGTAACTTTGTAGCGCATATCTGTTTTACAATATCTAAAGTTTGAAGTCTGCGTTACACAACGCATTGGAGATTGAGGAATTGAAAACTACAATTCAAACAATTCGAACGAAACGGATTAAAATTAGAATTATCGAACTGGTCGAATTCTTATCTCTAATTCGCAATCCTCAGTTTCCAATAGTATAACATGGATTTAATATTCGTATAGAAGTTACAGCAGATATCAATTAACAACAACATAATCGTTAACTATATTTACAGTTAACTATAACAATTTCGTTCAATAAAAACAATTGATCAGTAAGTGCTCAGTTCTTCTGGATCTAAGACGTGTAGGAACTAGTGGTATTGAACATAACGAATTTTTTCTGCTGAACGAACACAATGTCATAATGTATATATATATATTGTGTAATAGTTACAATATTAAATAGGAAATTAACTGACAGTTATGTTTCTGTATTTGTTGGGAAACATACTTTTCTGCAAGTTACTCTAATTAGACTTTATAATATTAAATATTGAATCTCTTGTTTATATAACCGTGAGAACATATGAAAACGCAATCGACAAAATACCTTGTAACAATCGTAGCTGGATCTTCAGTGGTTACCTAATTCTGTGTGAATTTATATACTATGTAAAAGCATCAAATTGTTAAATTGCTAATCAGTTTAACTCGTGATATTACTGCAATAGTTTAGTAGAGTTTGCGTTTCAAGACCGAAATATCATTTCAGCGCATTGTTTAAAGGATACTAAAGGATTATAAGGTATATAGTATAAATTCACAGAATTAAATAAACCATTACATTCCGGCTAAAACCGTTCGAGATACTGATTTTATTAGAATTTATAATCAATATAAATTATTACTAATGAATGGAAGTGATTAGTTTCACCATTTTAGTATTGCCAAGTCTTTAGATTCGGTATATCCTTATTAGCTTTGAAAGTATTTCAGTAAAAACTCTCTCGGAAAGAACATATTGTGAAGGAAAGGAAGTGTTCTTAAGAAGATAATCGTACGTATTAAATTCGAGTTTCAATGTCTATAATAAAAGGAATCACATTAGAAGAAGAAATGAAGAAGAATCCTCAATTGAAACTATCCGATATACAATCACTGAAAGAATGGTGCAAGAAACAACCGCACTTGCCAAAAATTGAGGACAACTTTCTCGCTTTGTTCCTTCACAGCAATTACTATCAAATGGAACCAACGAAAAACACAATCGAGAATTATTATACGACCAGAACGTATTTACCAGAAATTTTTTGCAGTCGGGATCCGCTTGAGGAAAAGGGATTACGACAAGCCTTCAAAATCTCGTACAAAATTTTATGAATATTAATGAACGAATAGCAGTAATGATTTGTTCGTATATATAAAATAGCAAATTAATAATTATTATTATTTTAATCACATTCATACATAATTTAAGATTCATGCAGAAAATAAAATAAATCTTATAAGATGTACAGATATATACTTTTGAAAATACCTAGAATATTTTTACTAATATTTTAACATACTTATTATATTAATGATTAATTTAAAATTAATTTAATTTAAAAAGGGCTGTTTTTCCTCTGAATGGATTAACAAAGGATGGTTATAAGATGATACTTTCAACATTGCTGGACAGCGATCTTTCCTTCTATGACTTTAATAACTGCGTAAAATATGTCATAATGTTTTCCGACATATATTTGTCGATGAATGGTACGAATGATGGTTGCATTATCATCTTTGATGTTAGCAAATTATCTTTCGGTCATGTTATGCGAATAAATCCATTGGCAATAAAGAAACATCTATACTATGTCCAAGAGGCAATGCCGATACGTCTAAAGGCAATCCATTTTCTAAACGCAACACCCGTCATGGAATTATTGATGAACATGGCGAAGCCTTTCATGAAAAACGAGTTGATAGACATAGTAAGTATCACAAATCAATTAATTAAGTTCAACTGTAGCAACAACATCCGCGTTTTTAAGAAATTCAATGCAATCAAATCATTTGCAACAAACGCAATATAAGCGTGATCAAATAATTCTAATGTTATAATTATAATAAATATATGTAATCATACTCTTTTATAGATGTAAATAAATTATGTCTTATACAAAATATAATTTTTTATCATCATCGATAAACATAGAAATTTTTGCGTCTAGTTATCCATAACATCATAATTTTAAATGGTAAAATTATACTCAATGCTGTATTCTATTTAGACAAGTTTTTCTGATTTTATTTAACTCTTCCAGATACATTTCCACTTATCATTAGAGAGCATTTCTGAATATATCCCAGTGGATGCATTGCCAAACGAAATAGGTGGAAAAGCAGGTTCTATGCATGAGCTAGCTGAAATTCAAGTGAAGGAATTGGAAGACAATCGCGAGTGGTTTCTGATGGATGAAGCAACCAGACGCGTTAACGAAACATTAAGAATCGGCAAGAGCAAAACAGTAAATGATTTGTTTGGTATAGAGGGTAATTTTAAAAAACTTGATATAGATTGATAAATACTTATAACTTCGTCTGATTTAACTAATTTTGATATCATTCTGTAATCTCTATTAATATTATTTTGTATTTTGCACTTTGTAGCGTTTTATGTCTGATTATAATTGTAATATCATGCACATTTATGAAAATAAAAAGTATTCTGTTTATGCTATTCTTATGTAATCTCCTGTGAAGATTGTAATTTATCTACACTGGTAAACAAAACAAAAGTTAAAAACTAGATTATATAAACATCGTTCCGATATTAATAAAAATTCAGATTCTCCATCTCTCTGTAATTATAGACTACCGTATTAATTTTAACCATAATTTCAAATAAGACGATGTTAAAATTTTGGATATAATGAACATTCTTACAACAGATTAATATCGGAGATCGACATAAAAAAACAAACACAAAACTTGAACAAAACAGAACGAAACTGAATCATTACCGAAATCATATCTTAACATTATACAATCTCTTTCTCCTTTTTAGACCTCCCTTCTTTCCTTCTGCCTCTTTCTTCTTATACTTCCTATATTCTTATTTATTCCTTTACTCTTCAATCTCATTTTATTCACAACGTTCCTCTGACAATCAACTCTTGATCATAGCTTCTTTGGTTTATTACAACGATAATTTTATTAATTAAATTGTTTTACACGTATTTTTATTTGATGGTAGCAGTGCTCCTTTAATTTATTAGAATTACTATTTTATTAATTGGACTATTTTCATCAAGGTACATTTTTATTACATTCTACTATTTTACCGTTATTGCTATGTTTTATTAATTGATAGATTTATACTAACAAATTCATTTATCTATATCAAGGTTAACAATAAGTGTAGAACGAGATCTAAGAGCTCTACATAAACCTTCACAATTTTCAAAAAAATATTTTACTTTTATAAAAGATTGTAACAGTTTTATCTACATAGTTTGGTCAAGAAGTACATTTAGAGCTTAGTTTAAGGACTCTACATTTTCAACTTCCACGCAACGAGAAAGCTAATTGTAAAAAATATCATCACACTTTTAAGGTTCCGTTTTTTCTTAAAAGTGATTAATTTATTCCGTTATGACGATTTTCAATGTAAATATCTGCGACTCACATTAAAAATGATCGGTCGAAACGTCTGTAAATTATTTTGTTTATTGTTATTAATTTGATTGAGTTATTTTATGAATATGATATAAATATATTTTAAAGAATGAATGTATGTTATAAAGAATGAAAGTATTATAGATAATTGAAGAACATGCAGTATTATGGAAATAAAAATTTGTTTTCTGTTTACTTTGATGGAGTCTAGCATCTTAAATAATTATTGTATGTATACAT